GCACACACATAACCGAGGTACACTGGATGTTACAGGTTGAAACCGGTCAAGGTAACCAAGGTCAAATATGCGTTTTTGGTCATAACTCTGCAAAGGATCGAGCTACATCAATGGTAGTGGTCTCAAAATATAGTACAGTAAAATATTAATAGTTTTTGAGATCATCACTAATTATAACAGTTCCTTTCTCTTTCAGTGTAGCCGTTAAAATTCTAATAGGAACAAAAAATAATTTCCATTTCTTGTTTTTCTGGTGATACACAACACACTGATCTACAGTCACACAACTAACATATACACAACTCATGACAAATGACATTTTGGTTCCACACTAGTAAACACAGACATTCTCTTGTGTGACCAACATCACACAAATGTTAATGGGCCTGTACAGATACACACATTGTATTGTCGATATAACGGTCATGTAATATGGGTTGGGCTCCTCATAAACTGCTTCTGTGCTGATGAACTGACCCCATCGATGCCTCATGGGGGACCAAGTTGCTCTCCCTGATTGTGCTTATTTGACAAGAAAAGCAATATACTGACAGAATTTAAATAATCGGTGCCCAGGTAAGTTTTTTGGTTACTATATTATAATACATACCATATTTTTCTCATTGCCTGCCCATTTCTTGAAGATTTGCAGAGACTGTCCAGCGTGTAACATCCCAGGTGTAGCAAACACAACCTAAAACAATCAGATTTGTCTCATTTTCTGCCATTTTAACACAAGCAAAAGGCCTGTAGAATTCTTACCATGGGGCCAGGGTTATCAGCATAGGACCGATCAAATGCTTTTATATGTTTAAACTCAAACATATTTCTCTGTACAAAGGTTTTTCTGATTTTCTGGTTGGTCCATGTGATAAAAAGCTTGTAGTAGTGGTTAGCCTTCTCTGTCAGCCCAGTGGAAAAGTAGATGGGGGCTTTTAGGTTCATTCTCTCCCTGTGAATCCAACACAAAACAAGATATTACATTACAGAGAACAGAAAGTAGGTAAGCTTTATTTATACAAGTTTTTTTTCACAGTGTCTGAAAGGGAGCCTTCACTTGAAATTACAACAGTGTTAACAAAATAAATGGACTGGTTGCATAACTATAAAAGTAAAAGAAGTACCAATAATGTAATAAATAAAGGTTATGGCAGAATATTTTGAAAGGAAAATAGGTGAATATAACAAATCTTTTAAGAATATAGGAAATAGATCTACATTGATTCAAAGCTTATTTTGGTATAAACTACTAATGCATAATTTCTTTCCGTTTCCTGTCCCAAATTACTACCTGCAAAATAGTTATGGACCACTAGGGGTATCTGTACCACTGGTTGGGAGACACTGCTCTAGTTGACAAGCGAAAATGTATGATTCAAATACTGTTTCTTCTCTATTTTAGCTTTTAGAATACTGAAAACAAACATTACCAAAATGTCTCCAAGAGGATGCAGAGTTCCTGAGCTCTCCCAAGTGCAAATACTGGAATCAGGACCTGGAAAACAAATGTCATGTCAATGTATAGACATAACTAAATATATTCTACATATTCCAAAAATCCATGCAAAAACAGTATAGAATTTCACACCGTATACCTAGAACATTTTGAACATTGGATGTCAGAGCTACAGCCAACATAAGACAGAATTCTTCATTCAAAATTGGGATGGTTGCCATGGCGTTTAAAAGATTTAAGACAAAAGTCCAAGAATATGATATATTTGTGTTGTATTCATTTTAAACATCACCTTTCCTCCTCTTTCTATCGATTCGTGAACTTTCTTCAAAAAGTCCCTCTCTCTGCACCTTTTGGAATCTCTGATGGTCGTGGCGTAAGTCGACTCGGAGATTAGAATATCTGGACGACATTTATCAATCCATGCAGCTCTAAATTAGGAAATTGTATATAAAATAACATTACATGGATTCATTTCAATATTAGACATAGGATTCAAAATAGTACTTACCCTAAATGTCTGTCAGGTGTCATGTTGTAATCCCCCTAAACAGAAAATGTTTTTAACCATCACTTGATACAATATTAATTTTGTAAATGTTTGATGAGAATGATGCACTCACTGTGTAAACCACAGACTCTGATCCCACTTTGATGTGCACCATCGCTGCTCCCAGAACATGTCCAGCGTAGTAGGCTTTAATCTCCAGCTCATCGTCCACCTGCCACACACATACAGGTTTATGTATATACCATCAAACGCAGGCACAAGTATAAATACCATCAAACGAATGCACAAATGGCCCAAGGTTCTGAAATGATCAGAAAGTGAAGCTAAACATCAATAACATGTTTTTCCTTTTTATTGCATTACTTATGGATTTCTGATGCTTTTTGTCCATTTAAGGATGACAGTTACTCATGTTAAACATATCAGACATAAGTATTTGAACACTAAAACAATGCATTCATTATTATTGTGTGATGGAAATTTATATTGTGGAAAGATTTCTCTCAATCTGTCTTTGCATAAATGAATGTAATTTCTACGTAAGACCAGATCAGTCATTAGCATGTGTAACGGCTCAGCAGACACACTATTTGATATGTATGTAATAATACATATAACTTGTTTTTTTTTAAATAAATACTCAGAGGTCAGATGCTCTGAGAGGAGATGGGGAGAAGTGGTAATTGGGGAGAGGAGCCTAGGCCCTGTCCATATCTGCTGTAACAAAAATAAACCGTCTGTATTTTTGTCTTCCAAAAACTCATTGGGCTTCGCAAATGGATTAATTATTTATCATCAAGAGATACATAATTTTTTTCCACAACAGTAACCATCATGTTTTTGTACTGGCTGATGTAACTTGATGTTGTAAGCTGTTTCCTTTTGCCACAAGAAACATGGCTGATGGCTTAAATAATATGTTGAGTAATATCGCTGTAATTACGTAGCATTTTGATGTAAATTAAAACTGGTCTAAAATCCAATCCCTGTCATAACAAAATAAAAATAAACTGCTCAACATCAGTAATTTTTTTAATTCCCATTTTAGTAAGCAGACATAGTACCGACTGAGTCCATTAAGCCCTGGCCCTCTTAACATGCAGTTAACTCATCACTAGCTCCTCACCTGTACAGTCTGATGGAGATTCAGAGGCACCACTTTCTTCATACAGTCCTTGATCATCTGTGAAGTGAAGAAGTTTGTCTCGCCTTTTTTGTCAACTGTGATTTTACGGAAGTCTTCGAGCAGAATGGGGCAGATGGCTTTGGTGGGATGGGTCATGTAGATGGGACCGTCGTAGCCCACCATCTCACTCATGTACGGCAGAGCTCCGCAGTGGTCCAAGTGGAAATGACTGAAAAATAACACGCATACTGATTTATTCCTTAAGGCTACATGAATTGAATGGATTCTCAAGAGCCTGTAGTAAATTAAAATTCAGCTGGATGGTGTAAATGCTAAAATAAATGATAAAATTTTCTATTCTTATATTATCTTATTTTATATTCTACTTTTCAGTTACTCAGTTGAGCTTTCAAGTAATAAAAAAATATTAATCTAGAAATCTGGTTAACCTGTACATGAATATATTGGTGAGAAAAACAATACAATATCTCACCTGATGATGACACAGTCCAAGAAGTCAGTGAGGCGCCCATTCTGTGTTATATATGAAAAATCTGGAAAACGTCTCTGAAAATAGAACAAGGATGAGAAATAGAAATACATATCATACTAAAAAAAGAAAGGGATTAGAAGAGTAGACTATAACATCATATTATAGAAGTATGTGTTTAACAAGATGCGTACTGATTTATTCTGTGTAATAGACAGGGTTAACAGATTTTCAAAGTCTGAAACTGGAACACCCTCGGGTTGGTTGTGGTTGGTAATAATAAAATTGTCAAACAAGTGTGCAATTAAAGAAAACTTTTAATTATTAGTTATGCACTTGGCCTATGACAACATGAGTCAGTATAGTCACATTTTCTTTGTGTTGTCTGTAATTTTGCATAAATAAAAACCTAAAACAAAAAACCTAGACAATTTATGTCTCTCTTTACTGTTGACAGGTATTAAATTGGTCAAAATAGGGACATTTCTTGTATAAAACTTGGACAAAGCACTGGTTTTGTATAAATCCACTGGGACAGGGGACACAGGGCTCGAACCTGGGAGTGTCCCGGGTAAATAGGAATGTGTGGTCAGCCTAGTAATAGACATTTTGTGAATTATTATTATTACTCACATCATCGTTGTACCCCATGTGCATGCCACAATCAAGCATGATGTTTTTGCCCCCAATGGACACAAGTATGCAGCTGCGCCCGACATCCTGCCCAGCACCTTGACAATGAAATAATGTGAAGAAGATACTCAAAATCACTTTGTACACAGTACATTATCAACTTTTGCAGACAATTTTGCAAAAATCACAGGTAGGGATTACGTTTAAAATCATACCACAATAGTTAATTTCTACCAGACAATATGTAAGAAACTAAACATCTACCACAAGTTTTATAATCGATCTAAAACATAATAATTTTGTTTGTGTTTACAGAAGTAGCCTGTTTGCTAGTATGTACCTGCTAACTGCTTCACTTACCCAATGGTGTTACTTTTATTTCTGGCATGCTGGCTTCAAAGACCAGCTCGTTTTAGGTGCGTTTAGACTGTGATTCCCGTTCACAAGCTTACCACTTTTTAATAACGATAATAACAATATGATTCATTGAAATAAGCGTTGTTTTTCTTGTGTACATGTGAGCCATGTACCCGGAGTATTTTGAGCAAACCAGATCCGGAGATTGCTTTCAGAGTAAAATTCAACAGCGATTACTTTTGTGGTTCAGATCAAAATTATGATTCTGTTTTAAATGGCTGAATGTATTCATGTATTTAAATAGATACGTGAAAATTATTATTGTGCAATTTGATCGGATAGTCTCAAATAATAAAGTAATTTATTTTTATTTTGAAGGGAATATTTTAGTTTTGCGGCCTGATGTTGTTGGAGTCTGCGCAGTGGAAATGGATTAGAGCCAAGACTTCCCTGACGTTTCATGGGACGGACGCTTTTACTTTGATCTCTTAATTTTACAGGTAAATGTTATTATTATAGACAATGTACATGTAAAATAGCGCACCGTAAATGTGTCATGATCATTTTCCCTGCTTGTTTTTTATCGCTAATATGTGTTTTTGTTTCCGTTTCAGTTTGAATAAAAGAAAGCCATGGCAGTCTCGGTGACATCGGATGATCAGAAATTCTGCTTGAAGGAGGTGCTGGACACTTTCAGGTTATGCCTGTCTGAAAACAAAGAGGTTTACCTGGAACACTACGTGGGTGGTTGGCGAGGTTTGGTCAAGTAAGTGGTAGATCACATATCTAGATCAAGTCACGAGTAATTCAATGAAATGTTTTACCAAATTATTCTTTGGACTTTGACCTGCTTTAGCTGGTTAGTTACTGACATAAACAAACAAACAAACACAAATGTAAATAATATATTGCTACCTCTTTTATACAACCAAAAACATGCAGAAATTATTCACATAAAACTATTTTCAATATTAATTCTTGTATGAAGAAATTATTATTACAACCTACTAAGTGCAATATTAATACAAGTATAAAGTTATTAAACACGTGGACAGATTACTATTATTATTATTATTATTGACTATTATGATCTGAAAACCTGGTGTAGGGTATAAGGTATAATTCATTTTATTTGCTAAAGAAAGTCAAACATCAGTTGCAAATAAATAGAAAATTATGATAAAAAGCAGAAAATACCAGAAAATGTGGCACAGTCTTTACTTTTTTTTACATGTGATTTCAATAGTCAAAAAATCTGATAATTATCTTATTGAGTGTGCATGTAACTGCAACCAGTGGTGTAAATTTTACTTTGTAAATGTTTACCCCATAAACCTGTCTTTAGTTATGTATAATAAGTGATATTTAATCATATAAAATGTTTTTGTTTGCCATAATCAAAGCAGGAATGCCATTTCCTGTTCTATATTTTCAGAACATTCTAATTGAAAACAATAAATATATTTGCTTTAACAGGTTCCTGAACTCATTGGGAAGCGTCTTTGGCTTCATTTCCAAAGATGCCGTCAACAAGATTCAAATCCTGGTCAACCTCCAAAAAGGTGAAGACGGCTCTCACTACACTACCATCCAGTCGATGGTAAAATATGAGCTGGAGAACCAACTAGTGGACCTCACTAAAAGTGGCGCCCACCCAACATCGGGCTGTCGTACTCTCCTAAGACTCCACCGCGCTTTGAGATGGCTGGAGCTATTTTTGGACAGTTTACGCACGAGTACTGAAGATAGTAAGACTTCAGTGTTGTGTGCGGATGCCTATAACGCCTCCTTGGCAAATTTTCATCCCTGGGTGGTACGGAAAGCTGCAGGAATGGCTTTCTGTCTTCTTCCCGGGCGACAAGCTTTCTTTGATGTTATGAATGTAGGGACTCCAGAGCAGGTGGTTGCCATGTTGGGAGAAGCAATTCCTCTCATCACTGAGGTGTACAAGATCACAGAGGACCTATATGCACAAAACAACATTCTAGATTTACCGTAAGGCAGACTTGCATTGACCTACCTGAAGGAAAATTTGCATTGAAATGGTTTGTGCCGAAGGGAAGAGCATTTTATGGACTGTGATGGGAACAATTATCTTTAAATATATTACTTGAAGTAGAGATGCACCGATCCAGCTTTTTACTTTAAGTAGCTGCTGATATCTGACATTAACTTGGTGTAGGGAAGGAATATGGCACTTATTTCCTTAAAACACTGTAAACTTATTATACAAGAGATCCAAGTGTGTTATGCAAGTTAGATTTATCCAAAGATAAAGTATATTCAAAGATGTTTCCTTCAAATAATTATTGAAACATTTTGCATAGTCTTATTAAATCTAATTAAAGGCCTAACCAAGGTATCAGTTATGCACAATACAGCAAATTTTTCAGTATTAGCGCCGATATTTGATACTAGTAGTGGTACATCCCTAACTTGAACACTAATACCACTACTATTCCTAGGTTTTTATGGTAATGTGGCATGTATATTATTTATTGACCTATCTCTATACTAGGATAATCATTTTTTAAGAGATTAATGTAATGCAGTATCAAACAAAATTACGCTCACATGACAAACTTTAACTGTATTTTTTTTAAACACATTGTACTGTATTGGTGACTAGTCTGACATTACATCAAATTAGCTAAAGTTCTGAAATAGTTGGTCTTTTATGTTCATTTCACGTTAAAGTGCCAAAGAAAATGACACTTTAAAATGAAACTACGGATTATTTGTCCTGTTACAACACAGGATGCTGGATATTTTTAATTGCATGGCCAGTGCTGATGGTTTGTGATCTTAAGATAAATGAGTTTCTGTTTAGTTTTTTAAATAATGTACAGTTCTAATAAAGGATCACCATATGTTTTGATTCTAATACATTATGAATGTAACTCAATAAATGATTTCAATTCCAGTGTTGTACTATTTGTGTGCTTCTACAATAAAGTAGTGTATTGTATGCAATATGCATCCTGCAACATTGCATGGGGTGGAACAGATGGTTATAGTCCTGAACTGCCACAAGTACTTGAGCTGAGTTCAATTATTACAGCTTTTAACCCACTCAAACATCATTAGAAACCTGTTATTCAAGATTTCAAACATTAAATCTCTGAGAAATAGGGGCATCTGTCTCCATTTTTAGGGTTTGAGGTTTTTTTTTAAATGCAGAAAAAATTAAGAACTCAAATAAAACCTCACAAGCATTCCAAGATGCATAAATATAAATTATAATATGTTTATTCATTTGTAACTTATATTTTCCTTACGTACTACAAGATTAGATACAGATTAATAAAAATGTAAATTAGGATTTTTATTTTTGTGTTCATGACAGCTGTTGTCATGGCAACGTCCCTACGCCAAACGGAGTACTTCCTGTATCCGGGTTTTCATTTTGCTCTTGGATATATTGAATAATAGCTTGGTTTTTTTTTACATTTATTTATAGAAAAACTAGCTAAATTTTCCCTTCTTTTTTTTTTTTTTTTTTTAATTCAGTGTGCCATATGGCCGTGCATTTAACAAGACCGAAGTCCTCAAAAGGGCGACGCAGGTCAACCAAAACCCTCAACTTTTTCCAAAACAACGATCCTCCACAACAAAGCGGCAGCGGATCACTTTTTTCGGCCGAGTTTGGGGCGGGAGAACCGGACACGCTGCTCCGTCCACAGTCCCGACATGAGATGCGGCATTCCGGATCTCTGAGCCAAAATCAGGTTCAACAAAACAAGCTGCCCCACGGGTGTGCGTCTGGCCAGACCCTGAACAAGTACAAGGTTCTTCCGTCCATAGAGAAAGAGAAAGGAAGGCCCAAACACAGAGATCACGGCGTGGATAACGGAGTGACCGATCTAACGCTCACTGGAAGGCATATTTTCAAGTTTGCAGAGGTGGGTATATTTACTTAGAGATCTTTGGGGAAAAAAAAAAGTTTTATTATGTCACCATTGGCCTCCTACTTATTTGAATAATTACTTATGCAATCATAATTGTGTAGCGTTCTACTTAACTTTCCCATTATAAGTATATTTTTTATTAAATTAAAAGAGTTGATATGATTATTCTTCTATAGGTCTCATTACATTCATATTTTAGCATTTGTTCTAAGCATTTGTTTGGACGATGTGGATCATTACATAAAATTTAAAATGTTGTTTTTAAGTTTATTCTTGTTAAAGGAGCACTATATCAGTTTTTGAATGGAGGGTCATGTTTATCTTAGGAAAATGTCATTGCATTGCTTGGAATGTTCCACAGTATGGTATTCCCAAATATACTTTGTTTGGTGGAGTCACCCGCTTGTTTCCATGGAGACTGCCAAGTTTTGTGCCATTTCGCTGAATATTTCAGGCAAAACAATAACATCTCCATGAAGAATTGAACCCTCCACTAAAGACTACACACCTTTTACATTTAGATGACCAGCACTGACTTATTACTGCATTTCTACTCTTTAAAAGTGCTTTATAAAATCTGTCCTTCTTAATTCTCAACTCTACACCACTGTTTACAGGGAGGTGCTGAAGGAGACCACACTACAGGTCATGGACTTGGTACCTGCAGCTCGGAGGATGACAGAAAGGTGGCGCCATCACCGGACACTTTGCTGCTTGCCATCAAAGACCCGGCTGGAAGGAGGTTTGAGCAGCGCTTTCACCCATCGGACACTTTGCTCCACGTGAGGGCCAGTGCAGAGGCCATGTACGGGGTGAAGTTTGGAGAGAAGACAATGATAGAAACCATGGAGGTCCCTCGAAGGAGCTTTAGCAACATGAGCCTGACTTTGGCCCAGTGTGGCATCAGCAACAAGTCTGTGCTCTGCATTTTTCAATCAGAGGATGAGTGAAACACGGTCAAATGTCTGTGTGCCTGTCGCCCATTGGAGCAGCAGCAATATATAACACAATAACCCTAGCCTAGCACATTGATTTATACAAACAAGGTGGACATTATATGCAGAGGCGGTTACAGTAGCCATAAATTGCAGAATTGTGTATTTACTTGAGTAACTTTTTAAAGAAATTGTACTTTTCCAGCAGCGTACTATGCAAGGTCTATAACAAAAGCTTTATGTTGACAATATTAACTGATTTGAATATTTGAGTTTGTTGCGACTGCTCCTTCAGATATCATTTATAGTTTTTAGATTTTTGTGTCTATCCTTTGAAAATACCAGATTTTGTGCATTATTTATAATCGCCATGTGCCATATTCTTACACATAATAAACAAGCAATTTCAATATTGGTTTTGTCAATAAATTCATCTCCTTTAAGACAATATACTGTACTCTTTATTTGAACAAAAAGAGTACACAGAATACAGATTTAAAGTCTTACATGGTATTTTAACTCACAATCATATTATGTGTAACTATAACAATATGATGCTGTCACATGTAACCGTCTGACCATTTTAACATAAAAAAAAACAACTTTTTTTTTTAGCAAATAAGCCAATGTAAGCTTCATATGTCTAAGTCTCTCTGGATTTCTGACATTTTTATCATGCAGGATTCACACAGAAAATCAAACATCACTGCAAACTTAAAACCACATTTAAACAAAGGATGGCTAGTGTTTAGTTATAGACAAAACAATGAAATGCATGCAATAAGTGCCATACAAAATTACACACATGAATCCTTTAGACTAGTTCAGACGTTTGAGTTTTACATCGACGGCTTCAGAAGCGTTTTCGAACCACTCACTGAAACAGCTTCTCCATCTGTTCAACATTTTCAGTGTCGAGTTTTGTGATTTTCCGGTCTGGGGGGGAAAAAAAAGAAAGCGTTACTTATTGCATAATCAATTACTGTCAATATTGCAGTTCCAGATAAACATGTTTACGTTGTGCGTCTGTATTCAATTCAGTAGGCCTATATTGCCTGAAAACTACAGAAGGGATATTTTTGAAGCCAACTGATTATTGATCATTTATGTTTTGATTTGTTTTTATTGTGATGTTAATGTTTTTCTTATTCTGTAAAGCACTTTGAATTACTTTGTGTATGAATTGTGCTATACGAATAGACTTGCCTTGCCTAATTGAGCAACTAAAATACTAACCAATTAATGTCATTTAAATTTTATCAAACAAACATACACTGCTGTTCAAAAGTTTGAGATCACCCAGGCAATTTTGTGTTTTCCATGAAAAGAAACAATTTTATTTACCACCATGAGTTGTAAAATGAATAGAAAATATAGTCACGACATTGACAAGGTTAGAAATACCGTATTTTCCGGGGTATTAGGCGCTCTGGATTATAAGACGTACTGTCTTTAATGGTCTATTTTCAAACTTTTTTTTCACAAATAAACAGCATTGGACTTTAAACGAAACAACAGTTAGATGGGTGAGTGGTTTTGTTTGTTTGTGGCGTTCACGGTGACTCTGGGCTTTGTTCACTTGTGCGTGTAGGGAGGGTGCTGTCTGGGACCAACGGATTGTCGGCGTGTTCGCAGTGACTCAGTTGTTCAGTTGTGTCTAGAAGTGACACATTGCTCTCGCTTTTTCGGTTCTTTCCTTTGTTCCGTTCCTCGTCGGTGTGGAGTGATGAGTGTGTCTGTGGGTGTTTTTTGCCGTGCAGTCGCTGTCTGCTCCGTGTGTGTCTGCGTGTGCTGTGGGTGGTGCAGCTTTGTAGTTTACTGAAGTTGTGCTGGGACACCCAAGTGGATTCGTGTATAGGGCGCTCTGGATTGTGGGGCGCGCGGTCGTTTTTTGATGCGGTTAGAGGCTTAAGAGTGCGTCTAATAGCCCGGAAAATACGGTAATGATTTGTATTTGAAATATTTTTTTCCTTCAAACTTTGCTTTCGTCAAAGAATCCTTTATTTGCAGCAATTATAGCATTGCAGACCTTTGGCATTCTAGCTGTTAATTTGTTGAGGTAATCTGGAGAAATTTCACCCCACGCTTCAAGAAGCCCCTCCCACAAGTTGGATTGGCTGGATGGGCACTTCTTGCGTACCATACGGCTCAATGGGATTTAGATGTGGTGACTGCACTGGCCACTCCATCACAGATAGAAAACCAGCTGCCTGCTTCTTCTCTAAATAGTTCTTGCACAATTTGGAGGTGTGCTTTGGGTCATTGTCCTGTTGTAGGATGAAATTGGCTCCAATCAAACACTGTCCACAGGGTATGGCATGGCGTTGCAAAATGGAGTGATAGCCCCTTTTACCCTGAACAAATCTCCCACCTTAGCAGCACCAAAGCACCCCCAGGCCATCACGTTACCCCCCCCCCATGCTTGACAGATGGAGTCAGACACTCCTCCAGCATCTTTTCAGTTGTTCTGCATCTCACAAACGTTCTTCTGTGTGATCCAAACACCTCAAACTTCGATTTGTTGAAAAAACAGTGCTTTTCTTTCAAAAATAAGGACATTTCTAAGTGACCCTAAACTTCTGAACAGTAGTGTATATTGTGGGATAAGAAATATTAAAATCATTAGGAGTAAATATATATGTAATTGATTAAATTAACCCCAACATCAAACCCAAAAATTTTCCTTCTCAAATATCTGTGTATTCTGAGTCATTTTACCAGTGCAAGGCAGCAAAGGATAAACTTTACACTTCCCTTTAAAAATAGACACATTCTAAAATAGACAATATGACATGAGGATTGTATTTTATAATTCTGTCAAAAATATCCTTATCGGTTGAGCCCTATACAACATGAATAGATGCAAGAAGACTAATTCATATATCACACAGGGGAAAGTGAGTCAGGCTCGAAATTCTATACAAATCATTTTCCCTGTGTCAGCTTGGTGACGGCTTTTTCCTTTAAGTTGGGTTTCATGCTGCGATATCAGCTCGACATCTCCATAGAAAACCCCGTGATTAATGTAAAGGCCCCCGTGATGTGAGGAATGTGGTGCCTACTGGACCACATTCACGTGATGAAACTGCTCGTAGTGTTGTCGTATTGCAGATTTGATCTGGTATATGGTTATTTCTCAGTAACTGGACCTATCCACATGAACTGGAAAATGGGATAAAGTGCAATCAGCAGTTTTATCTATTCTCATTTCAGACCTGGTTTAGTCTCCAAACTACAATTTTTAGCAAACAATTTCAATTTAAATCTGAAAAGTCCGGGTTTAGATCTGGTGGTACTCAGAAAGCCAAATATTATCTTTGGAGCAGAGGCACCACAATGGGGTCGGCAAACCAGGCAACTGCCCCGGGCCTCAAGCGGCAGAGGGCTCTAAAGGACATGACTTTCTCAACTAACTGGATTGGAAAAGCAACATTTCCTCTTAAATATAGAGTCAAAGCACAAAATAAGCATGAATAAATAGGGGTGTCAAATTATCGCGTTAATTGCGATTAATTAATTACAGTCATATTTAGCGCATTATGTTTTTTAATCGCGTTAATCTAATTTTTAATCTCTAACTTTAGTGTTTCTGTATGCGAGTTGCTTTATTCTAAAACCTGTTTTTATGTGTTGTTGGGACAACAACACACACACACACACAAAAAACACATTTATACATTTTTTTATTTCGGTAATTCCACTCATTGCCGGAAACCCACACAAAACGCAGTAAGAAAGATGTAAACGTCATGTTAACGTTGGCGGCGTCAGGCACAATGGACAAGGTCGTAGAGCCAGTAGAACAGAGTCAGCAGTGCACAGGTAAAAACGCATTCGTGTCTTGGAAATTATTGTCCCGACGTGAAATATAAAAGAAAATAACAAATATAATATCGCCTACAACTTAAATGTCACTGGTGAAAACAACCTGCATAGGCTCATGATGTCTGCACTACTGTCCTATAGTGACCTGACACATGAGGGGACACGCACACAAACACATACACACACAAATACACACAAACATACACCTTCATCATCGTCATTAACCTGAGAACGCACGGACCACGTTTCCTTCCGTAGACACTGCGCGGACACCGACGTGCTCCCGTGAGCCGCGTGTGGATCGTGTTTTCTCACGTACGCTGCGTAAACCGCGCTTCCTCCTGTGCCTCCTCCTGTGCCTCCTCCTGTGCCTCCTCCTGTGCCCCTCTAAACCAGAACTAACACCAAGACTAAAACCAGGACTTATCCAGTCCAGGACTAAACCAGGACTAAACCAGGACTAAACCAGAACTAAAACCAGAACTAAAACCAGGATTAATTCATTCCAGGACTAAACTAGGACTATAGTAGGACTAAAGCAGGTCTAAACCAGGACTAAAACAAGGACTAAAACCAGTGATCTCATATATAAAACATTTCTCTATCAATAATATTTTTAATATGGTTAAGGAAAGACTGGACTTTTTATTGTCTTTAAGTCGACAAAAGTTATGATGTTCAGATTTCCTCGTCTTTGCTACTTTACAGCAAACAGTTTCTTATTCATAGAGACTTGGGCTCAACAGCCAATTTGGAGAGATTTGTTAAACAATAAATGACTTTATAAAGTCACTTTTTTTTTGTTCTATATCACTGATCTTTTGATCTGCCACAATAATTTAATAATGAATTTAAATGAAAATACCTCAAATTGAAGGCTTTTCTCAGCAATTTTTAGGTGAGATTAAAATGAGATTAATTAATCTCTCAATTTTTTTAATCGCATGACAGCACTATGAATAAAATCATCAGTGATTAAACATGTTGTGCTAGGGCCTCCCAAACCGTCTTGCCTAAAGCCCTGATAGTGATAGAGACAGCTCTGCTTCAAACGAGACTTGCTGTGAATAGTTTGACCACTTAAAAATCTGATAATTTTCTCACAAAAGCTTCAAAGGTTGTGGTATTATTCAGTTACAAAGGTGAGAATGTTGTCAGATAAAGAGACTTCAAGCCAAGGTTAATTTGGCAAGTAGATTATTAAAAGTAATTGTACGGTTCATTTGCCATCTATCTGCAGCGATTGTTGTGTGATTGATTTATTGTGTAATTCTGAATTAAGATTTTGCATCTGATCAACATTTCCTAGGGGTGTGAGGCTAACTGGAGGCACTGCTTGGTCTGAAGCTCTGTTACTCAACTTAAACTTTCCTGAGCAATTTAACCAAGAGATGACTAAACTGAACTAGATCTGATTGTGAGCTCTAATTGTGCTGTTAAACAAGCCCCTCTCAAACGGAATTACAGTAATAAACTAAGACTATGTTCACACTGCAGCCTGAAGTGACCCAAATCCGATTTTTGGGCCCCTATGTGACCTGTATCTGATCTTTTAATGACAGTTTGAATGACAAAGATCCGATTTTTTAAAATGTGACCCAGGACACTTGGATATGTGCTCCTAAATCATCAACAAGCCACAAATGTACACAAATATTCTTCTCGTCATATGAAAATTGTTAATGAACTCCATGTCACTGAAGCGAAGCACATCGCTATCCCACCACTCTTGGCTACGTCTCCACATCCACACGTCCAACGGACTGTCCCACAAAACTCCACGGCCAAAAACCTCGTCCTTCTCCTTCTCAATCTCCTCCTTAAAACAAGTAAGTTGTTACACGTTCTGGCTCCGGTACGAGAGGAACTTTAAAATCTCCAGGTGCTCAATGCTCGCGTCCGTGTTTGGATAACTTCCGTAAACACAGAGCACGCTCGCTGCGGTTGATGTCGTCGTGTTCTACAGTGCGCATGCGGGACACTTTGGACCATTTAATGTTCACACTGGAGGTCACAAGCAAGTTGCATTTAACTGGAAATGTGAACGACCTCGCAAAAACATCGGATTTTACAAAAAATCCAAATTGAGCATTAAGCCCTGCAGTCTGAACATAGCCAAACTAGCTTTTTTGTTTTTTTTTTTTTTGTGCTGAAAATCCAACTCCTAAACCGGAGCATGAACACATACTGATCACAAGCCCCTGAAAACGTGTTGTTAAAACCCATTTGATATTTTTTGAGTTTTCAGACTATCTTAAAAGTTATTTGGCAGTATGCATTGTGTCACTATGGTAACTGCTGAACATTCTGCCATAGACATACATGCAGAACATCCCCAGCATAATGTCACTGTAAAGTACCAATAATCTGACTGTAAACGTAAGTGTTACATACTGAAGTGCATTTCAATCTGGTGCAGCAGCTCCATGCCGTGTTCACTGTCCACCATGTTGACAGCGAAGCCCCTTTTGCCGAAGCGCCCCGTGCGGCCGATCCGGTGTAGGTATGTCTCGTTATCAGCGTTTCCGTCCAGGTCCATCGGGAGGTCAAAGTTCACCACGATGGACACCTGCTCCACGTCGATACCTGCAATCAACAATCGTCAATCAATAGCTCTTAACCTGACCCCAAACCATTCAGAGAAAAGTGGCATGACATGACAGCTGATACTGCAGAAAGGAGGGGAATATTGCAATAGACTCGCCCGGCATCCAAACAATTGATCAGGAAGTAGTGACGTTATCTATGGGCTTTTCACTGAGTTGTGCTAAAATTCATAAGTATTTAAAGATAAGACAGTGAACAGTGAGCTGTGGGTGGATGTGACGGACAATATGTTAAAAAGTCCACAAATGAAATGACCAGTAATTAATTAATCGGAAAGTTTTTGCTGCTTTTAAAAAGGTAGAGATTTGATGAAGATGAAGTCACCTACATTTAAAAATAATTGGGTTGTCTTTACTTGATTTCATTTGATTTTTAATAAGTTTGTTTATTTTATATCTTACAAATTTGATAAAAGTGATTTTGGCATAAATCCTATTTAAAACAAAAACTGAAAATCTGTTAAGTGAAACTGTGCATTTGTGAAATCAAGCTTAACCGAGCCTATATCTAAATAAGCACTAAAATTTACCCTGAAGAGTAAGATCAATTCCAGCTTTATCTGTAAGTTCACAAACTCCCGCTGTTGGAATTGGCCCAACCCACCAATAGGACAGGACTGGACCAATCACAGGGCAGCATAGTGGTTTGGTCAGAAGCCAATCAGCTTCAAGTATTCAAGATGGATTCTGTCAGACTAAAATTAGAATTAGAAGTATAAATGTATTTTAATTTTAAGATCCATGAGGAAGAGAAATGCCAACTTGTACACTTGTGACATGATAGTGGCTCTCTGAAACCATTATAGTGTATAGATACTACTACTACTACTACTACTACTCCATTACACTGTACATGTGTTGTTTTACCTCTGGAGCACACATTGGTTGTGACGAGCACTTTCTCCTGGCCGTTCCTGAACCTCTCAATGACTGCAGCTCTTTGCTCCACTGTCATTTCACCACTCAACAGCGCCACCTGGTGACCCTCCTCGTTCAACTGCGAAGTCAACCAAGCAGCCATCCTGCGGGTCTGAACAAATGAAACATCCACAGATAACAATATTATACCCTGCACTATGTCATTGTGTGTTTTTTTTTTTTTATATAAAATGTGCTGACTTCCATGAGGACATGAGCGCGTGTTACTGTATCCTTTATCAATTATCAAAGTCAGAAAAAAGTTAGATTGTCAGTGAGCAAAATCTATGACAGTACAGAACAGCGGTGGGCAATTATTTTGTCCATGGGGCCACATGAAACAGAAAATACTGTGGAGTGCCGGGCCAAAATGCATAACTCAATTCTGCATAATATGAATCGTATTTCTTTACAAGAAACAGTAAACAGCATTGTTTTGACAAGTTGGCAAGACTGATGAGAGTTTATGTCATGACTAAGCAATGCAAAAGTGAGGCTGCCGAACAAAAAACGTGATCTTAAAAACACCTCTAAAATAAAAACTTTTTATGCATGAGGTAAAATGAAAAAATAAGTTTATTATGCAATTCCAAATGACCTTAAATGGACCAGTCAGAGTCAACCAAAGTGCCGTATGTGGCCTGGGAGCTGTACAATGCCCAGGTCTGGTATAAAAGAACGTAAAAATGCAACTCTGATTAAATGATCTACTGTATGTAAACCCATATTCAGGTGACTTTCAAAGTAAAACAGGTTTGAAAAAAAAATAATCTAAAATTTGAAAACATAGAAAACATAAAATAACCAGACACTGGCTACAGTTTAATTGAGATCAGTGCAAGACAAATGACCACTGATAATTTTGTATGGATATAACATAATGAACATTCTTCTGTGTTACCTTTACCAGATTTCTTATGAGAACAGAAAACTGGTAGAGAAAATACTACCTCCTGCTCCAATCTGAGAGAAAAAACATCACAATGTGGCAGCAGGAGGACAGACACTGACACAAATTTGAATCACATAATATTAATACCAATTCATATCTGTGCCTTTTATGACAAACAAATGACACACAAAGGATTATGAAAAGTAAAGTGGTAACACCTTTAGAAATGGATACAGAAATACTAGCTCAAGCTCCATCTGAGAAAAGCACATCCCCGCACTGTACAATCTGAAAAGCCCTGAAAAGTATTGGCAGACTTACATGGCAGAAGATCATGGCCTGTGCGATGGTGAGGCAGACGTACAGGTTGCAGAGGGCGGTGAACTTGTCTTCCTTCTCGGTGCAGACCACATAGAACTGTTTTATTGTGTCCAGAGTCTCCTCCTCGCGCTTCAGTCGAATGATGTTGGGTTCAGGGACCACGCGCTCGGCAAACTTCCACACAGAGTCCTCAAAGGTGGCGGAAAACAGCAACATCTGACAGTCAGCGGGTAGGAGTCTGAGGAGGAGAGCTAGGATTTATATTTACAATTAAAGTTTTAAAAGTTCAGAGTGCATACTGTAAACAACTGCGGGACCGTTAACATTTGAGAGAAGACTAAATTACGAACTGAAAAACTAATACAAGAATCCCAGGCATTTCGGAACATGTTTGTAAAGGTCTTCACAAAAGTGATTTTTGATGATTTTTTCTTAGCAGAGGACGTTCTGTTATCTAAATAACAGGTTTTATAATTTGATAATTGGTCCAACTCAAATTGCGATTCTGATTAGAATGCAACACATAGTGCAGTCATATTCTGAATTTAAAGTTTACTTTCATCTTAACAGTTTAATTTTGTATTGCTCTAAAAACCATGGATCCAGAGCACAGACATCCCTTTGTTCAAGTGTAGTGAATTTCTTTGGGCAAAATCATAGTAAGCCACTTAATATTAGTAATTGCGCCTTATAATACAGAGTGCCCTATAGTGAAAATACGGTAATTACATCCACCCCAAAAGATACAGTTCAGTTCTACAGATCTGAAATGAGACGTCTTCCATATTTGGAACAACACCAGACATAGTTTTCTCAGTGCAGTTACATCCAAGCTGGTTGTTGCGTGACCTGTGCATGCGTATAATTCAAATCTCTATGGGGAAATACCAGACATGTTTTTCACATATTTCTAACTGAAGTCCCGTGTGTGCTGTTGTCACCTGTGTATGCGTAAGCTCTGGTCCAGGTGTCCCTGTGTAGCGATCATCACGTCGGCCTCGTCCAGCACAAACACAGAGATCTTCTTCGGGTCGATCACTTTGTATTTAGTGCACCAGTCGAGCAGTGTGCCGGGGGTCCCGATCACTATCTGCTCCTGCAGCACCACACCACGAGGAACTTAGGACACAACACACAGAGAGCAAATAATAAATGATTAAATAACTAAAACTAAACTGAACTTGAATTATCATTGGAAAGTCAGGAATAATCAGTTTCAAATACACACGATTATAAATGTCTGATTTTTAGATCTCATGGACACTTTCATTGGACCTATACCAGGGGTCTCCAACCTTTTTCCTCCAGTGAGCTACCTTTACAAAACAAAAATGCCAGAGAGTTACTCATTATTAGTGTTATTATTACTTATGAGTGTACAAAGTTAGGCATCAAAATGATACATATACAATGGTAACATGCATTTAATTAATCACATTTATCTTAATCAGGACAGTACATGTAATTCAGAAATCCTTTGGTGAGCTACTGGTAGCTCCCGAGCTACATATTGGAGACCCCTGACCTATACTGGATATTTTGCTTCCATAGAATGCTCCACAGTATGGCATTAAACATATCTCCATAAAAACAAGGAGGTTACACAATCAGGTCAAGTTAAAGGTCAGATCTGTGGAGAGGTTTTTCCAATGCATTTTCTTTATTTTTCAATAAATAAACCGCCTGTAATTAAAAATACAATGCAAGTTGAAGATGTCAGTCAAAGCAATGTGAGATATGGATGGAGAAAAGAAGAAAAGTTACAAGGTATTTATACCTTTAACACAATCTGGTAAAAGTGTAATTTTTCTTCTCACACTAAGCGCTGTGACACTGTGACAAGACCAAACGGCTGTGTGTTTGCTGTCATGTTTCTTACTTCTGGTGCCTCTTATGGCATACGCCACTTTGATTCGAGGATAAAAACTCCCCATCTGCTTGATCACTTGGCCGATCTGAAGAGCCAGCTCATATGTGGGAGCGAGACACAGGCACTGAAAGCAACAACAGTCTCAAAAACTCAATAGAAAAGCTGGGTGAATTTATAGAGTCTAGACATAAGAAAAAAATGATAATGAAAATGATATATGACAATGGATGAATAAGCAAAAAACAGAACGTCAAGACATTTCTGAAACATCCACAAATCTTAAAAAAATGTTATGCTAAATTTAACCAGCTCATAATCAAGGATATGGAGTCATATTCATGCATTTTTGTGCTTCACTTCGAACTGATATTTTTTTGGGCAACAGACATGTTTAGGACATTTCTGATGGATTCCAGAAATCCTGAGATATATTTTTGGTTATATCACCTGGCTCTATCTCAAATATGTCATACATTTTTAAAGCTAATGAAAAAACTGCAATAAAAAGACATTAATATATAAAAATTAAGCACATCAATTAAACAAATTTCCTGATAAGACGGTAAAAATACTGTACAATATTGGAAAAGAATATTGACTATATAGGGCTGAATCTAACAATTTTTTGCTAATCCATTGATCTAGTGATTATTATTTTGATTAATCATGTTTAAATTGTGAAATGGTCTGTGGATATGAGATTTTTTAAAAGTTGTACACAGATAAAGCGGAAACTGACTGAGAACATTCTGATGGAACATATTTACACATGTTTTTTTAAAATCAGACACTAATCAGACACATTTCCCATGACTTTTGTTAGTAATTCCTGATCTATCTGAGTCAAAACCTCTTTTCTCAGCTCTTGACATGTTTTGCAGCATATATATAAACCATTTTGAAGCAGCCTTAGATCAGTATTACCTATCTCCATAGACGTACCTGAGTCCACTTGTTGGCCGGGTTGACGTTGCTGAGCATGGCCAGAGAGAAGGCCGCAGTTTTCCCCGTTCCAGACTGTGATTGGGCAATTAAATTCTGAGGTCTAAAACAACAACAACACATTCACAAACAGGTAAACAAGCCTAGTACTGCTCACAAAACTGCACTGTATGAACGTGCTTTTTCCATTTGCAGTCAAAACCAAAGCTAAACCGACAGAACGATTTAACAGCGTGTGACTTCAGACGATTCATTATTTTAATAACATGTTTTGACAATGCAGCAGACCGTAACATTTTGGATGAGGAAATTCTAGATAAATACAAACTCACGGTTGTGCCAGCATCATGGGCAGCGCGTTCTCTTGGATGCGAGATGGTCGGTTGAAGCCCATGTTGTAGATCCCCTGCAAAAGTTCAGGTTTTCTAGGGGTTGAATAGAGAAATTATTAGCAGTGTAATAAATGTACACAGTGTAAAACGTAGGGCTGTAGTCGGAAGGAATTCTCGGTCAGCTAAAGACGTGTCCTTCCAATTGATTCATCAACTAAAAAGGAGATTGGCTTTTTAGTATACTGTTATGCATCTCTTTGTATCTGACCCAAACTGCACTCACAAGTCTACATCTGCACCAGAGTTTTATTCAGAAAAAAGTATTTATATAAAGACAGATTAAACTTGCAAATCATACATTGAATCTGCATTTTTACATATAAATACAAAAAGCTATAAAAAGCTTCAGCTATTTCACTCACTCACTGACTCACTCACCTCTCCTTTCTGCTGCTGCCCCATTACAAGTCTTTATAATTTAAATAAAATGGTTAGGTGGCAAACAAACTTTTAGTCAACTAAGGCACCATTAACCGATTAATCGACTAAATGACTCAAGGCCCACAGCCCTATTAATACTGAGTTGTTAGTGAAGAACCCATAGAATTTTATATTAATGTTAAGACTATCACACAAATTTGAATATTATCATCACTCAAGATAAGTTCACCATAAATCATTTTCCACAGCAGTGTCAAAATATTATAATTATAAGAGTTCATATTAAATTAGTTCAGAGGATGTGCAACATTTGGATTATGAATACGTCTCGTTTCTGAAAGCATCTGATGGAACCAGACTATTCATGAGTTTCAACCTCCTATTATTTGAGATTATTTTGAAAACATTTTCCCATTCAAAGGATATAATATTTTTATTTTTAAATGCTCATCACTATGGCTACCGTCCAAATTTTTCATCATTCTGAAACCCATGGATAAAAGTACACATTTATGTACTACTGTGGTACAGCTTTTGTAAGTCCAGAGATATTAATTGTACCAATGCTCGTCTCCACGGAGATGTTATTGCTTTATCGTGAATGTTCCTCAGTATAGCATTAACCTTTCTAGTTTGCATTTATAGAATTACAGGTCTGTCCAAAACATTAATTTTTACTGTTTTACAGCTTACTGTTGGAGTCACTTGCCTCCATGGAATTAGAAACATTTAATGCTACAGTGTGGAACATTCCAAACAAAACACTGGGTTCCCCCAAAACTTTCATTGACTTTACAAAATTGCATGACATTTCTAGGCCTGTTAAATAACATTTTCAACTTCTATGACTTTTCCAGGATTTCTATGACCATGGGAACCCTGAAAACAATAAGCAAGTCAAGGAGAAAAGTTGTATAATGCACTTTTAATATGTCATAATACTGCATTCTGATTCTTTGATTAGGAGGTTGTGAGGACTGTCAACCTTTCAAAATGTAATGTTTTGTTCACAATTGTTCTGAAACCCACGGATAGACTTTCAAAAACTATTCAAGAATAAGAAGCAGAGATGGTACAAACTCACAGTCGGAGCTCCTCAAATGTCTTCACAGAGAACAGTGGGGAGTTGGGGTCTCGCTGAAGTACCTCCACCTGATTCCTGTTCCTCACCAGACTGGTTCTGATCAGTTTATTCAACAAACTCTGCTCGGCCAGATTGGGTTTCTCTCCCTCCGCCTCCACATCTCCACTGCTACTACTTTTGACCTCTCCTGTGCCTAAAGACCTCTGTGTGATGACGTTTCCTTTGGTAAAACAAAAGAATAATTAGCCATTGTCATGTTAAAAAAGGTGTAATTTTTCTGGTGGTCCACAGAGATTGTATTGCTTTACTTGAAATATTCCACAGTATGGCATTCCAAATAATTATTTTGCATTTATTTAAGTCAAAAACACTTGTTTGCCTCTCCAAAGCTGTAACTTGGCCTGATGTTCTGCTAGTCTCCATGGAAACTGATCAAATAAATGCTGCATTGTGGGATCTTCCATAAAAAAGTAGTATTTCAAAAAGTATTTCACATCTCCATGGAGACAAACACTAAAAAAGTTTAAAGTTTTGTTCTGGAAAAGTTTCGTGCATCATTTCCCTGAGGTTCACATTGTGCATCTTGGTCAAGTTATAAAACAGGTGAGCTTTATATTTAGCTTCTAAAACTAAAATAAAACAACTGTCGCCAAGTGGAGTCTGGATGTTTCACAATATGGCAGGTTCAATCCCACACTGATTCTGTGAAATATCCAGGCAAAGCAATACCATCTCCTTGGAGACAAGCAGGTGATGACAGACCAGAAAAGTTACATAGTGCATCTTTACTGGGCGTTGGTTCATGGGCCTCACCATTATTTTCTTACCATTAAGATCAGGTATCAAGGTGTGTGGCCAATTACGTCGTCCCTCTTTCTTGGGAAACTGTTAAAAAACAAACACACAGCGAATATTTAACGTAATTTAGTATAAATATAGCGATATGGACGATTATAAACTCATGTTAAACTTGAATTAGGTTAAGTTAACAGTTAGTTGTTTTTTTCCTTTTTAAATCTCAACGTGTTTTTTTTAATTTTAACAATGCAAAATAAATAAATTAAATCCAATATTTGTCAAGGAAAAAAACAAAACAAAAAAACATTACCCCACAAAATATGTTTAGTCTGCAACGTTTTCGACGCAAGCGAGCGATAGTTTGACAGTTTTCCTAAAACTAACTCACCTTTATCGGTTCAGTTGTGGCTTCCTGTAAGTCCACAGCAAGCGCCCACGAATCTTCCGACATTTTCAAGCAATTTTGGTGTTTTTATGAACGTATGTGAATTTAAATGATGAAAAATTGGAATAAATGGCCTAAGGATTAGCCTGATAGCGCTACACGGACCATGCGCCGCTAAACTGTCGAAGTGAGGCCACGCCCTACAAATCAAATACTCTAGAGCAGGAGTGTCAAACTCATTTTCACCAAGGGCCACATTTGGATCATGGTTGTCATCAAAGGGCCGGTTGTAAAGTTAAGACTGTAACAGCTACTCTGTATATGCAATATTGGTATGTTACAAATGAGAGACTGTAATTGATTTTTCATAATATTTATTTAAGTTAAATATTATATAATATTGAATTTGTTTGTATTGATCTACTGACAAAGTTAAGATATTCACATTACTCCTTCAGTAACAGAGCAAAATTTACAGATCACAAATAATAAATTGACAAATCTTATCAAATTTATTTAATTTACTTCCCTCAGAACCTTTCTCTTTCAGGGTGATCTACTAAGAACTTGCATAACAGATCTAACACGAAGTCTTCAAAAACTGTAATAAAAGTTATTTTTAGAAAGGTTGTCAGTCTCACTATATTGGTCACATTATCATTGCTGCTCTCCTCTGAAGTCCAGTCCAGTAATCATGAACTGAAAATAAAAACACAAAACACAATCAAACATTAAACTAGAGATATTAATTTTAAAACATTAAAAACACAAAATGCTCACCTGTTTGTTTTCTGGCTGGAGGTTTGACATCGTTTCCCTCTGGTCAGCATGTCCAGATCTGGTTTTAGGTCTTGTGCTGTAGCAATCCTCAAAACAGCATGGAGGTTGTCATCGGTGAGGCGTGATCTATGCTTGGTCTTGTTTAGATTCATGATAGAAAACATCTGTTCACACAGATAGGTGCTCCCAAACATAGACATAATACGGGCAGCATGAAGTCGAAGCTGTGGCATCACGTCAGGGGGAAGCAGACGGTAAAAGTCCTCGAGTGCAACGTCCTGGAATTTTGATCTCAGGCCACTGTCGCTCTGAAGCTCGATTAACTCCATCTGAAGATTATAAGGTGCGTTGTCAACATCAGCAGTAAAGGGATTGGCAAAGAGGGCAAATTCTGAAGTCAGAAAAGCGTCGGTCAAATTCATTAATTAACCGGGTTATTTTGGTTGCCAACCGAGCACATGAAAAAAATGAATTTAAGGCTGAAATCCTCTGGCATACAGGAAAGTGGGCAAGATTGTCCTGTTCTAGTTGGGACTTCCAGAGGTGAAGTTTCCGCTGGAACACTGAGATTGAGTCGGACATCTGCGTGATGACTTGTTTGCGTCCCTGCAGTCTCTTATTCAGTTGGGCGAGATGCTCTGTTAGATCACACAACATGGCAAAATCGCACAGCCACTTTGGATCTGATAGTTCGTGCAAGACTTTTCCTTTGCTTTGCATGAAAAGCGCAATTGGCTCCCTGAGCTCAAAAAATCGCTGGAGGACAGCGCTTCGACTGAGCCACCTTACTTCTGTGTGATACGGGACATCTCCATGCTTAGCGCCAATCTCTTGTAAAAAGTGCTGAAACTGGCGGTGATTTAGGCCACGCGCACGAATAAAGTTGACTGTTTTCATTACAGTGGCCATAACATCATCCATTTCCAGAACCTTTCCACACAGAGTCTCTTGATGGATAATGCAATGATAGGTTATCGGACGTGCAGGACAGTTTTCTTGTAGCATTTTCTCTTTTACCAGTCCAATCAAGCCTCGTCTTTCGCCACACATTGCAGGAGCGCCATCAGTAGTCAACCCCACTAATCTTTCCCACTGTAATTTACAGCTAGTTACGGACTTCTCCACCGCCTCAAAAATCTCCTTCCCTGTTGTTGTCCCATGCATGGGAACTATATCCAGCAGCTCCTCGGTGACAGACAGATCTGCCGTTAGGCCTCGCACAAAAATGGACAGCTGTGCTGTATCTGTGTTGTTTGTGCTTTCATCAATGGCTAATGAACAAGACAGAAAGTTACGTGCGTCGTTTGTAATCTGTGATGTAAGATTCCCTGCTAACTCTTTCACTCGGTCAGCAATGGTGTGTTTCTTGACAAACTGACATTTTAAAAGTCTGTATCTGGTCCGGGCATACCTGCTCACACACCTTCAGCATGCACTGCTTTATAAACGCGCCCTCAGAGAAGCACTTGGAAGCGCGAGCGATTTCCTCCGCCACTATGAAGCTCTCACCGCTGCATCGTTCTTGGCTGTAGCTCTTGAAAACATATCGTGCTACGATTTTAGTTTTCCTTTTAATTCTTGGACAGCTCGTTGTTTTTGTTGGAGACTAAAATTGGCATACTTAGTTCCATGTTTTGTGTCAAAATGCCGACGTAAATTGTACTCCTTCATTACGACATACGACCGCCATCTTGAAACAGTAAGCGAATTCTTTATGGTACATTTTATTGCATTAAAAAGTCATAATAATAAAAGTACACATTTATGCACTACTGTGGTACAGCTTTTGTAAGTTCAGAGATATTAGTTGTGCCAGTGCTTGTCTCCACTGAGATGTTATTGCTTTATCTTGATGTTCCTCAGTGTAGCATTAACCTTTCTAGATTGCATTTATAGAATTACAGGTCTGCTCAAAAATATCTTTAAAAATGTTTACTGTTTTTACTGTTTACTCTTTCACAGTTCTTACCAGGTACAGTTATACATTTTATGAAATTAATAAATAAATTTAATCCAGCATATGTACAAACAAAACAGAATAATATACCTTTTACAAGCATTAGCAAACCAATCTGTTTTTGCCCTTTTTCTAGTCTTCCAAACCGCCCACACATAGCCATTTAAGACGAAATGGAAAGATGTGCTTCTCTCTTTGATAACAGAAATATAAATGAGGACGTGGTATAACATATGTAAGTCATTATTAGGCTATATGATGTAATTTTTTGTGTGTGTGTGTTTTATCATTTTTTCCATATTTTTTATTTTTTTTTCCCCAGGAGTCACTTATGGTCAGGAGTCACCACAGCAACCGTGGATAAAAAGGGAAAAAAAGCCTTTCTGCAACCAATAAGGGAATAATAATGATAAGATCCATGCCACCCACTCATGCCACTGCAAGGTAAAGTCTGATTTAAAACTGATCATTTGTCACTGGTAAATTGAATGTGATTAATGAAGAGGTAGAGTCCTTCATAATAACTACCTAGATAAGAATGTAATATAGTCACAGACCGACAACATCTTTCTTATAGGTTTGGGTGACCAGATTTTTAAAATCAGAAACTAGGACACCCCGGTTTGGAGTGGATGGTAATAATAAAATTGTGAAAAGAGTCTCTAATTAAGGAAAATTATTCTGCACTTTGTCCATTCATGACTTATTCACCACTCACTTTTGAGTCAGTGTATAATCTGAGAGACCAGTCTGTGAAACAGAGTGCACTTTTTTGTGTTCTTGTCAGAAGTCAAACTGATAAAAATATGACACTTTGGACATTACTTGTAAAAAAAGAAAAAAAAAAAAACTAGGACAAATCAATGGTTTGGGATAAATCTACTGGAACAGTTGGCACAGGGCTTAAAACTGGAACTGTTCTGTATTATATTCTTCCAAAGCTTGTACAGATGCTGGCTCTCAAACTGTGCTATGCAAGCTTAATTTGATTGATTGATTTGACATTTAGATATGCTATGGGTTGTCTTGTTTGGGAGAGACCACATAAAACAATTTAGACATATATTCCTGTTTGGACTAACTGTTGCTGTCTTTTTCCTTTTGTGTTCATTAGTTTCTGCTTAGATAAAGAATACACTTGAAACAGAAATAAAGTCCAGATAATTTACTTATTTAAATATTTGAGAACAATACTTGTACTAGGAGTCAACATTCCCATGCAGAGACTCAATGTTTATGCCTATACAATGAGTTTTATACACAAACTATAGTGGGAGACTGCCATGGTTGCCTCTTTGTTGGTGCACAGGCCAGCCACGCCTCTTGGCATGTTGCACAGTCCAATTAGAGTCCATCCAGGGTGTTATCTGGGTAACAAGTCTTGACAGTTTGCTATTAGATAGACTGGAATATCATGCATTTGTCTTGACATACTGTATATCTATGAGTCTCACAGCTGTGATCATAGCCCTTATCTTCACATGACCTCAGTACACGTCCAAGGTTCATTTGGTCTTCCGATAATGTTTGTTATTAAGGTCTTTTTTCTGCAGATACAGGCAGAAGGATGGCTTTGCCGTGGGGGACCCCTTATTGGCCATCATGAGCGGGTTCTTCATTGAGGACCTGGAGGAGAAGGTATTAACACAGCACCAACAAAATGTGGATTCATTATGTGGAAAAGATACATGGATGACATCCTGGAAAAAAATCAGTAAGGGACACACACAGGACCTAACAGAGCACCTAAACACAATAGACAGCACTGGAAACAACCAATTCACTCACGAAGAAGCAAATAATACAATCAATTATCTGGACATGAACATTACACACAGGGAAGATGGCAGCATCAGAATTAAAATACATAGAAAACCAAACCATACTGACTAATACCGCTGGACATTGGAACATCCCACAGCTCACAAACTCTCTGTCATAAGAAAATTTTTTGACAGAACCAACATTATAACAGATGAATAAGACAAACAGGAGGAACAGACATGTCCACAGTGCTCTGAAGCAGTGCCAAGATCCAAAATGAGCAGTAAACAAAAGAAAACAACAGAGACAGAAAAACAAAAATAAAACAAAAAAAGAGCACAGGCATGGTAACATTACCGTACATAAGCGGCATGAGAAAACACAATAGCAACACACCAGTTAAACGGTACATAAAACTCAACTCATCCACACAAAAGATAAAATAGAACCGGAGCATAAATGTAATGTCATATATGAAATACCCTGCATGTCCCGCAATAAAACATACATCTGGGAAACAGGGAGGGTGTTTAGTACACCAACGAAAAAAGGAACATAGGACAGAATGTGAGAAGGAAACCGCGAAGGTGAAACACGAGCAACAAAACACAAAGCAGGACAGAACCAACTCAAATCTGTCATTTCATCAACAAACTATACGGACTATAAACAGGGATGTGGGGGCTTTTTTAC